TATAATGAAAAAAATCACATGAATAATAGATAACATGGAAAGATTTAGGCAGACAATGAAGGGTAGATAAAATTCTGCAACTATTCCTTAGACAATATTAAAAATTTTAATGAAAAGATACCCCCACTCTAGATCGAAGAGTTGTTTGATATTAATCAATCAAGTGTCCGGCTTAGTAATTAAACTGATTAATGCGGTGGGATGGTACACTCTGTATCGTTTACATGATGAGTCAATCTATCTATATTCTGCGATTGATGACACCACCAAAGCGCGCGTTCAGCCTATAAAGAATCAATTTTTTTGAACTCCAACCTTAATGTCAACCTGTGGCTCATTAGGTCCAGACTCTCGACTACGGGATTAAACTTCCAATCACCTATCAAGATTTGAACAGACCGGCAGTATTATAAGCTCCTAAACAACAACATGATTCATTTTCAACCGCATGTAAATGCAATTGGTCGCTGAGCTACAGCCCTCTTCTCCTTCTTCTTCTTCTGAAATCTTAGGATATTCACGAATTCACTTCCAGCGCTTAGTACCAGGGTTCTGGCAATACAGGACCCTTCGATGAGCACAACACACGATTAATCATTAGGTCTTTATTCACACTTAAGACAATTAAACAAATAAACTGTAATCATCCAACAACCAATTCACCCTAATAATTCAACAATAACAATCAACCTAAGCTAATAAATCAGGTAAACCAGTAATGAAAAGCAATTTAATGATTTGCATGGATTTATATCATTCTGTATCGTGGCGTCAAAATTAGTAAATGAAGTTACTTAAACAATCTAATATTCGGTCAATTAATTTTCATTTTTTAATTTTGTTTAAAATAAATCGATAATAAATTTCTGAAAAATAGGGTTTTGTAATTTCAAATCGTTAATCTGAAAAAAATTTTCGAAATGTGAATGTTGTGTGTTGAATAAGTGTTTCTATGATGCCTAGAACATAAAAGGAAGTGATTACAAGTGCTATATAGTTGATATAGTTAAAACAGGAGTCATTCCCCTAACCACACAGTCACACACACACACAATACTAACATATGACTTGTTTTAAAACCTATATAATCATTTAGCAAAGTTTACTAGCTAGATCAAGTTGAACTCGAAATTCTACAACCGTTCCTGTCGCTGACAACAAAAATCTTCTTTAATGTGGTTCAGTGTATATGCTACAAAATTTTACACTTGTGTGGATAAGTATTCGTTTTTAATTGAATCGATGTCTGTCTGTCTCTGTCTGGATTCAACATAGAACTTGGCACCGAAGTGCAGCAGTTCGAGTTGCCACGTTCCAATTGGCACACAGAGGTAGACAAGAAGATGAGTGAAGAGAATTAATAGAGTTTGACAAATATAAGAGTGAAACAGAATGGGTAATTGTAGAAAGGAATATGAAAGATTACAGAGACTGAATACATCTGCGCCATTGACAACGATTTTGAGCCATGTCACCTATTGTCTCCAGCCATTGATTCCTAGAGTCCCGAGGGCCCCAACCCGGGAGTCTGCATCTCCCTACCTGACTCAGTTTAACTGTCAAGGATTTCATGGATTGATGCCATGTTTTTGTTTGGCCACCACTGGCTCTTTTCCAACCTGAACCTATATCAGCTAGCAATGCCCGTCGGGGGAGGCGGTGGTTAGGCATGCGCAGCACGTGACCTAGCCATCTTAGTCTATGTAACTTTATAGCCTCGTCGATTGATTTTCCCTCTTTGCCCAACACTCTACGCCTAACGTCAACATTACTTATCTTGTGAAACCACCTAACGTGAGACAGAGATCGCAGACATCTATGATCGAAAGCAGTCAACCTTTTCATGTCTTCAACGCGTATTGGCCATGTTTCAGAGCCATAGAGAAGGACGGAGCGAACTGATGAGCAGTACACACGTCCCTTGGTTGATAACCGGATGTCACGCCTACGCCAGAGATGGTGTAAGTCAGCGAAAGCAGCTCGAGCTTTTCGGATCCGTGCTGAGATTTCATCGCCAATCAGTCCGTTGGTGCTAATACAACTTCCCAAATAGGTGAAGTGGTCAACATGTTCTATCACTTCACTCCCTATCACTAAGTTAGGGATTGACGGGGTCCAGTCCTGTAGCAGCATCTTACATTTTGCAGGGGCGAATCGCATGCCAAACATACGAAGATTGCTGCTCAAGGTGTTCAGAAGACTCTGCATTTTGTCAGCATCCTCCCCTAACAGGACTATGTCATCTGCATATTCTAAGTCCATTAGATTATTCCCTGGTAACAAGTCGATTCCTAAGTCACTACGTTCAGTTAAGGATACTTCCATCAGCATATCTATGATGAAGTTAAACAGAAATGGGGAAAGTGGACATCCCTGTCGGACACCACTGGTTGTTACCAATTCAGATGACAATTCCCCATAAGCCCTTACACGACTACGTGAGTTTGAATAGAGTGCCTTGATTAGTGCAATGTACTTTCTTGGCACTCCCTTCACAGTCAGACATTGCCATAGTACCTTTCGATCCACGGAGTCGAAGGCCGCCTTCAAGTCAAGAAATATGGCAATTGTTGGACGCCGAAAAGTGTGTCTATGTTCTAGAATCTGTCGAAGAGTGAAGATATGATCTATGCACCCTCTACCTGGTCTAAAGCCTGCTTGATTTTCCCTTGTCTGTTCCTCCCGAGTTCTGCTTAGTCTATGCATGATTACTGAGCCTAGGATTTTAGAGACTATGTTCGTTAGGCTGATCCCCCTATGATTATCACACGAGGACTTGTTTCCCTTCTTGAATATCGGTATAATAAGTGACTTACCCCAGTCTGATGGTACTGTCTCTGATTCCCAGACTTTGCCTAGTACCTCAGTTAATCTACAAACTAGTATGTCACCCCCATATTTAAACACCTCGATGTAAATAATTTATACATCTGTATTGAATCCATCTGTTTATAACTTCCAGAAAAATACTATCAATATAAGATATGGAGGTATTTCACTGTACTCCAAATTACGACATAGAACATAGTTCATTGAATGAAAGGTGATAGAAAGAAAAATGAGGGAATACAAACAGTATAATCCAGGGTGCTAGAGTATTATGAGAGAAAGAATAACAAATGAAATATGAAATCATCTACACCATTCCTAGTGATTTCGTTATGTACCCCATAAAATTTTCAACTCGGTTGAGTTGGTTAAAGGGGATATATACAGAAGAGCGATTTTTTCTTACATGCCTCAGAACAACAACTAACAACTGTGTCCTATATGGCTTTGACCTTTCTTTGTTTTTACCAAGGTTGTTTTACTTCTAGTATAGAATGCTGAAGCAGATTGTGGGAAGGCATTATTAGTCTCATCGTGAATGGTGCAGTTTTGAAAAGATCAAACGAGCGCAGTGTACTGAGACTAAACGCTTTCTAGCCGACAACCAACGATATTTGATGCGAATATACGCGCGGGCGAAGCGAACACACAACTTTTCTCAACCTTAGAGTTGAATAAAGTATTGGTGCTGGTCGATTTTGAGGCAACAATATACATTCGAAGGGCAACAGCTTAGCCAGAATATCATTAGGCTGCCAATTAAAGAGGTCCTGAAAATTGAGAATCATCGTCTGAGAGACGGACTTCTTTCGCGTACTCTTAATTAATCAATGAACATCTTTTTATGCGATAAGTTTGTTATGTGTCAACAACTGAGCTTCTGCACAGCTTCGCAAGATATGTTTAAGGCGTCAATATATATTTCAAAATACTTTCGTACGGGCAGTTTTGAAGAAAAATGACAACCTTTTACGGAAATTCCAAAGAGCAAACCATACGCCATCAAGCTAAGACACTGGTCATATAAAGATGAGCTTAGGGGGTGTACCTGTATTCACTCAGGTACAATGAGATCAAGAGTGATATCTTTTTTACCTTTTAAATATGTTAATATTCATGCTTTTATATCATAAACCTATTGTATCTGTTCATTTTTTCTGGTTTCCTCCTTAATTTCTGAGTACTTTCAGACTATTTTTATTTGCCAATAGACTAAGGGTCGCTTGATGAAATTATAGCTGTCAATCCAAACAGTGGCAACCCTGTGGAACTAATTAAGCAATTCTGAACAAAATAAACCAATATTAGTCGGTTAATTACACTTAATGGAGCTACAACAGACAAGCAAGCAGCTATATATATATATATATATATATATATATATATATATATATATATATATATATATATATATATATATATATATGAAAAACTCGAACACAACGCTTAACTAATACAAGGACTCATAAGGGAAGTTAAAAGATGTGCAGTTGGTCGGTCAATATCATACGTAATTAGGAGTTGCTGAAATGAGAGAATATAGCTCCGTATTCATAATGAATGGTGTTGAGTTCTTATCTCCTAACAATGTCATTCGTCACATCAGAGCAAAACCTCCAGGTAAAATTAAGGGAACGCAAAACTAGAATACTAAATCTGAAGAAGGAAATGAAACTTATATGAATATTTAATCTATTTATTCCTAAGATACACTATGTGAACATAAGGTATCCACAAAAATTCGACTAGAAATATTTTCGAAGTGATACATAATTAGTAAAAAGGTTACAACTTACACTTAGGAAACTTCCCTATCCCTTACATGCTGATTATTTTGCCGGCTCATTGTATATTACTAACATTTAATTCTTACATAATTATACATACACGTGTATGTAGATTAGTACTAATCTAGATTAGCTGTATAAATCGGGATATACTGATAGCGAAACCGTTGTCTAATGAGGCGAAAAAGACAGCAGACAACTTACAATTATGTGCCATGAGGATGGAAGGCATATAAAGGGGCATTTAATTCGTCAGTTCAAAACTTATTTAATTCGAAATAATGTTATCATGTGATAGAACCTTCTTGGACGACTTCAAAAATTTCAAGAAGTGATACAACAAAGAGATAAAAATATATCGATTTGAGTGTTTAAAATACTTACCTGAGGAACGGCCTAAGAACTTTAGCTTTCAACACTGATGACATCATATTGTCAAATCGGGTGAGGTAACGCACACACCGAATAGTCCGCTTTCCTAATTATCCATAAAAGATTTTTTCATAATTCACAAATAATATAGTTATTCGAAATGAACGTCAGGTGTATACAAAGAGCGCACAGATCTGCATCTTACGAAACAAAAGCTGAATATTTTAAGTAAACTTAAGTGCTAAGAATTTGTTGCGCATCAAAACACTCAAATAACTTCCAAAATTTGTCCATTATTTCTTATCTTTGGATTGTAATGATGTTTCCCACATGTCTATCATAGGCGCCACCACATTCCTACTGCGCAGGTCAGGTGAACATTGGGTGAATAATCATAACCTCCCCTCCGCTACCTAACTACGTTATCCCTTCACCACTCTGTTTCATGATCATGTGTTCATGCGCGCACTGCGAATGCTGGGTTTTCCTCTAGCCTCCCCACCTTCCTTGGTTAAATCATTCTACATTTAGTTAAATTTCTATGTTTCTGTGTTCTGACTAAGCTCTATCCACTGGTCTGGTCAATTTTTCTGACCTCACAGTGTTAGTACATTTTACAGTGCTTTAGCTTTTTGTAAAAGTGAATGCATCATTTACCTTCTCTTACTATCTTCATTTTGCAGCCTGATATAAATTATTCCCTTTGTTCATTTTCTGAGTTGAGTACAGATATAATTCCCCTGACTACTAATTTTAGAAGTGGAAGTGAGCTGCTAATATATTCTATCCTAAACTCCGTAAAAGTGTCGCTAACGTATCTCCACCAAATATTCCGGTTGAAATTTATTGCTAAGATGAAAAAGTATTGCTCTTAAAATGCTTAATTCCATTTTCTAAATTAGGGATTATCCCATAACACTTACCAAGTGGAATCAGTGTAGTTCCTACGATTGGTAGGCATATTTAATGATAATTTAATAAAATGCATATTTATTCCGGTTTATGTGGGACACAGCAATTGTGCAGGCATGGATAAGTATTATTTAAATTCCATAAATTTGGTTTATGGTTAAATTACATGATTTCTATCGTTTTTGTCTTTGGTTTGCGGGAACAATATGATAACTGGTCATTTAATGGAGCACATTGAGAAATATAGAAATATTGTCTTCGCATTAATAAAAAACCCGAGTAGGTTTTGGATGGATTACAAATACCTGGGAAAAAAATAAAGCTTGAAGTCATCCCTCATATAACTTTGGGGTGTACAGCATCGAATCGTATTCTTGATTTATATCCAAACTGGGTATTAATTTAAAAAAGGTAATATACTTGTATGATCTCGTCCGCATTTTCATCGTAAGTAACACCAGAAGTGAATTTTACTCAATGCAGACAAATAGTAATGATGGCTTACAAGAAATGCAAATTGTTTTTAAGGGCGCTGTCAGTTATGTTATAAAAAATAAAATGAATTAAATTACAATTGTTAGATATTATAAATTAATACTTTTTCATTGGAATGAAGGCATATTCCACAACTGTAATCCAGGATGCGTCGTGGGGGAAGATAATGCGTCATTCACGAGGCAACTAAGATATGGGACCAATAATGTTTGCAGATCATTTGTCACTGTAAGAGGCCGAATGTCTGTATTCTTCATTCTCATTCAAAGAGTCACATAGAAGCTAAAATGGTGAGAGGAAAAAGAAGACAAACGATTGCAACACAGAAAAAGGCAAGTGGAGTCCAAAAGGAGTGACCAATATATATATATATATATTCTGTGTAGTAACTATGGTTATTTTGGTAAACTGACTAACTAACTAGTCCTGTTATGCTAACTTTTATATTATATGCGAACTGATATTAATGTGCTGTATAGAAATGTTTATCATGTACTTCCATTAATATTAACATCTATAACTGTAGTTTGTTGTAACTTACACGTTTAATGAACTTAAAATATCTGTGTAGGGTGAAAAAGAGGGTGTAGGGGACAGACGCAGAAGTGCATTGTCATCTTTAAGCAGTTTGGTAACTGAGGAGATAAACACTGGAACTGTGTTTGCATCACACACATTAGCTGCTAGTCGATTCCAAATGACTTAAAACTTGTTTGAGAAGACGTACCTTATGTACCTATGGTGTATATGAACCACAGGGCATAATGTATAATTTTGGTGATATTAGTTAGTTGGAGGAGATTGGCAGGAAGCCTTGGACCTAGGTTTCGTGCCAGTTGGCACCCACTAGTCAACAAGGCTTATCTGCAACCTTGAAGGAACTCATGTCCCTTAGAATCAGCGTCGCCCAGTGCTGCAGTCAGAGACGTTACCACTGAGCTATTCGGGCTCGCGAGTGACCTCCTGTAGGAGTGTAGTGGATGTTTGATTGGACACTTGTAGCTAGTGTGATGTGCCTAGTCCTTTACTTGGTGTAACCTGAATTCTATCAGTCAGGTTTTCATCAGTGTGAATCGTGATGGCTGGCTACTCAGAATGGTGGCCACATTGCAAGAGTGACTGATAGAATCCAGTCTGCACCAAAGACTACACACATCTCACGAGTTACTGGTGTCCAATCAAATAACTTATTTAGTTATTTGAACTTTTTTCAATGTTCCTCTCACATAAATCAGTGTTCAATCTCATATCATCTCAAATCATATTATATATTCTATCAGTTCTAATTGGTGTACATATATTCATGCCTGCAAAAGTGGCGTTTCTCTTTTCCAGGAATCAGATGAATAAATTATTATTACTAAATTTAACTCAGAAGCAAACGTCTCTTCAAAATGCACTATTCAGTATAACACATGACATATATCTCTCAAACTCGCTAGCTCATAACATTCTCAAAACGTTTGTGTTCACCATCAAAGATAGGATTACCCATTTGAGGAATCGGAGATACATTTATCAATGATTTAACGAAGGACAAAAGATAAGCGATCATGGAAAACCATTTCTTCAGTAACGAACACATTAGATCACCAAAATAACCGAGTAGCTGGAAAAAAAGAAGGTTTAACAGAGAGTATGCATTAATATAACCATGAATATAATGAATAACGAGTTTACAAAAGATGGAAGCAAAAAATATTGCGCGAATACATCTCTCAGCCAACACTCAGACACTGTTAAAGTCCAGCTCCTACGACGCTGGACCTCACGATGCCCCTCCAAGACTTTCAGAAATAACATCTACTAACGAAAGCGAAAAATCAAAACACAGATTGGCGACTCGAGAATCCTTTATTTCCACGCTGATATGTAAAGAATAATAAGGTTAATAAACACAAGATCTAAGAATAAATGTTATAACAATAATTAAACGATATTACTTCTGACGGGTTTTATACGTTCCTTTTGAACAGCGGCCGACGAGACGATGAGTGGACTACTGATGACTCCGCGAAAATTGGGGAAGTTGGTTTTCAGCAAACAACCATGAATTGATCGTTCAATCTTCAACTACATTGACACTCCTCGGCAAAATAGGGATCCATCCCTTCTCTCCATCACGACCAATACACGTTGACTTGGATGCCGTTGCGAGAACCTGGGTCGCACGGACAAAGCTGAAATCGAAAACAAACAGAAAAGCCAACACACCACCAGCATACTCACAGCACAATCTCACACATCAATGACGACCTGCGCCTTCCATTTAAAGGTGTCCTCTTGACATCTTGCAACCCAATCGCTACTTGCTGGAATGACTCTTGCAGAACGCAACGTGACCATAGCAAAACCTCATGATACTCTTCACACATCCTCTTATCTACTCACTACCAATTACCACTGCGATCACTTGTCACTCATTCTGCCTCAGTTCTAGTAACGGTGACATATGCAAGCCTCAGTCGTCTACACTCTCGCTCCACGGCGTGTGGGACCACAGCTAATCATAATATCCGTGTGCATGTCATTCTCAGCACTAGCCTAGCCTCCCCGGCGTATACAACCCATCTGCTGTCTTTAACATCAACCAATTCATTCACGGATGAGGAAGACTCGAAACAACTTTAGAAGTAAGCGCGACGAAAATTTTAACAAAAATTATATCATACAACAAAGTACGAAAACAACAAGTAAACACAGTGAATCCAAAAACACCAATTTATATGACACCACACATACATACCTACATACAGTGCACATAACCTCGCAGATCATGTCTAGATGGAGTCCCTTTGAAGAATTGCAGGACTTACACCAGCACTCCTGCAACCCTTCTAAGTTTGACGAATGTAGGCTGAAAAATGTCCGGACACAAACAAGATTAATCAACAATTACATTAATTAAAACTCACTCAATTAATTAACACAAACTGTAAATGTAGTTGAAGATTGAACGATCAATTCATGGTTGTTTGCTTAAACCCAACTCCTCCATATTTTTCGCGGAGGCATCAATACGACAGTCATCGTCTCATCGGTCGCTGTTCAGAAAGAAGTCAGGAGACAACCGTCAGAAGTAATATTGGGATTCATTATTGTAATATTTGTTCATAGGCCTTAGTTTATTATGCTCTTTATATGTTGGTGTTAGATTAAAGAATCCTCGATTCGCTAATCGGTGTTTTGATTTTTGCGTGCGTTAGTACCAAGCATTCCGGAAGTCCTTCGTGGGACAGCGAGACGCCCGGCGTAGCAAGAGCGGGGCATTAACGGTTTACGAGACGCGACTGACAGTTTCTGACGGGAGAAACAGATTCTGGCGGATTCAGACAGTTAGTGAAAGTTTGGATAGTCACCGTTCATTTTTCCTGGTGCCGGCCAGACGTGATTGAGATTTTGTGACAGTTGCTGAGAGTTTCTGACATTTGTATAGTCTCCGTCCGTCTTTTCTGGCGCCAGCCAAGTATTATTGGAACATGCATTATCTGGAACTTTCTGGAATTTTGGTTACGTTCAATGATGACTGGGTCAAAGAAGGGAAAAACCGACTTGGAAGCAAACAGAAAAGTGAGTCATGGTGACTTGTCTGTTAATTGTAACGATGTGTCTGATGTTAAGCTTGACGTGGTTGATGTTACTGTTTCGCCATCCAGGGATAATAGGAACATCAAACTCACTAAATTTGAACCACGGTGTTTTGAAGGAAACCCAGCTGATTATTTACAATTTGTAAAGGAGTTTGAGATCATGTTGAGTAGTTT